TGGCCTCCAGACAGGAAGGTGATCCCTACCGAGCAAGGAATAAAGTGCAGTAAGTGGCTGTACGCAAAAACCTGGGGTTTGGTAGAAGCTTCTAGAATCTGACCCGGAAATCTGACCCAATGGGCGTTAAGGACTGTGGCTGCAGTTCATCTACCTCCCACAGGTCAAGAGGAGGATATGGGTCTCACCAGTGACAGCAGGGGGCACTGTGCGGCGCAGTGCTGTGACAGTTGCCATGGCAATCTCCTCATGAGAGTATTTCTGGGTGCAGGCATGGCCTGGGGTTACCATGTTGGGCTTCAGCAGAGTGCCTTCCAGGTAGATGTGGTGGTCACTCAGAGCCTTGTACACAGCAGCCAGCACCTAGAGCAGAGCAGGGCCACAGTGGAATTGAGGTGGAGTTGGGGGCGGGGTGGGGACAGAGGTCGGCCCCAAGGCCTTCGGCCCAGCTGCCCAGCCACCACACCGCCCACACAGGCAGGCACCTTACCTTCTCGGTTACATACTGACAGCGTTTCAAGTCGTGGTCCCCATCCGGGAGGATCTCAGGCTCCACGATGGGCACGATGCCATTCTGTGGAGGACAGGGGAGCCATGAGTCCCCCTAACCCAGAGCCCACCTGCAGCTCTCCGCAGCCATCAGCCAAGACCTTTTGTCCATGACAACAGAAACTCATGGCTTCACAGCCTGCAGCGGACCTCAGGAGACAGGGATCTCCTCCGAGCCACCCCCACAATCATACCCCACCCGCCGCCCCGGCTCACAGAGCCCTCGGGTATCCTCCATGGGCCCAAGCCTGACGCTTGCTGAGGCTCCAGAACAGCTGCCTTGGATGCAGGTGTGGTATGTATCCTGACAGATGAGCAGCAGGCTAGCTGACATTCTGGAACCAAAGGCGATGGGAGGTGGCCTGCTGGGGACCCACCAGCCCACCTGCTGGCAGATGCTGGCGTAACGGGCCAGAACATTGGCATTTTCCATGATGGCAAGGGCTGAGGGGGTGTGTTCCCCAATCTTCAGCACACAGCGCCACTTGGCAAAGTCAGCTCCGTCCTTCTTGTACTGGGCACAGCGCTCAGATAGCCCATCCAGCCCTGGAGGGGGGACAGAGGAGTCAGAGCATGGCAGAGGAGGGGGCAGGTGGCACCCAGAGAAGTCAGGCCTGGAATGGGTTGGTCTGGAGGGCAGGGAGCGGAGTTCTCACCTTGGGTGGTAGTCTCGCCGTTTGTTCCTGCCAGAGGTACCACGCCCTTGTCTACCTGTTGGGGTTGGGGGGAGTGGGCAACAATGTGAGATGGGAGAAGTGCCCTCTAGCACTCCACTCTGCCCTCCACCTTTCTCAACCTCTCGAGTGGTAGGTACCTCGCTTTGCAAACGTTTTCCCGTAGTCACAATACTTGATCCCAGAAGGTAGAAAATACATGGGGATGTGATCAGAGCGAGCCTGGGCTCCTAGCCATTACTAACCCAGTGAACCAACACGCATCACCCTTGAGTTTCTGGTTTTTGTCTGTACGACGAAAGAATACTGGGCTCTGAGTATTACAAGGATTAAAAATGCCAAGCAGGCACATATATCTGGTTCGGTCAGTGGAGCCTGTGTCTTCTGATCTCAGGGTTGGCTGGGAGTTTGAGCCCCACAAAGGGTGTAGGGCTTACTTTAAAAAAAAAAAAAAAAAAGCTAAAAAGATCCTCTAAGTTTCTAGCTCTTCTCACATACGCTTTGGCAGTGACCTGGGGCAGACTCCCAACCCAACGCCCACCCCACCCCAGCCTACAGCTCTGGCATTATCTCCCCACATCTACCTCATCTCTCACATTCCGAGACCCCGCTCCCTCACCTTGATGCCCACAACACCGCCCTTGGATTTGATAACTTGGGGGAAGGGACGCCCATCATCTGTCTTCTGGTACAGTGTCTCGTGGAAGAGGATGACACCCCCGATGCAGGGGTTCACGCGGTCATCAGCGGTCAGCAGCAACTGGCGGTAGAAGCGGCGGTTCTCCTCTGTGTTCTCAGTGCCGATGGACTGCAGCCGCTTGGCAATGCTCCCTGCAAAGGGGCAGCACGCGGAAATAAGGGGATCAGCCGGTCATCCTGGACCCTAGGCACTCCTCCTCCTGTGTCCTGCCCATACCAGTGGACTCATCTGCAGCCAGGATGCCCTTGCCCGGAGCCACGATGCGGTGAGCGATGTCAGAAAGCTCCTTCTTCTGCTCCGGGGTCAGCGCTGGGTATTGGTAAGGCATGGTGCCGGTCGGTTCCTGGGCAGAGGCAGCGGACAGAGGGGACCGGTTAGCTGGGTCTCACAAGGTCTCCCGACCAGCAGGACCCCACTCCTGGAAGTCAAGACAAAGCTTCCCTACCTCCCCTGCTCCACACCGGCAGGTTTCTGGCCACTTCCTGTCCCCAGCCCTCCCCTGAACCCAACTTCCTTATACTAGGCCTGCCTCCGGTACCTTTCCTAACTCTGTTTGTTGCTGGGTGTTTCCCAGCTGTGGGTGGGGTTGCATACTGGCATCTGGGGCAATGCAATAGGCCAGAGCCATAGACAGACGGGTCATGTAGAAGCCGGACCCTTCTTGCATGTGCTCTGCCATGGGGTCACCTTGCCTAGAAGCAGAACCGAACCGGAGTATTTTAGAATTTAGAGAGAGCACACAGGCAGAGGGCCCAACCCAAGGGCCCAGAAAAGGGAAAGTTCGGTGCTTCAAGTCCCACAGCACAAGGGTCAAAGCTGAGATTTAGAACCCAGATCCTCTGTCAGGGCCTTCCAATCCACCCATGATCCCAGGGCTGGCCCAGGCTCCAAAGCCTCAAGGACATCCCAAGGTCAAGCTCCCCCCCACCCCAGGGTTGGGGGAGAGTGTTAAAAGAAAGGGCAGGAGAATAATCAGAAGCCAAGGGAAGGGCAGCAGAGGAAGCCCAGCCCAGGGTCGCGCTAGGAGTAAGGTTTGTCCATCTCACTGCTCATACAGGTTGAAAAAATTGTAGAGAGGCAAGCGGCCCACCCCTTCCCCAGAAAATGCTCCAGTCTGCTCGCACGGCCGCAGCTGCTCCAGGCTCACAATCAAGGTCACCCAATAAGGAAAGACACGGAAAGTGTTAACGGGGCATCAGGCACCTCCATGAGGTTTCCCCCCTCGTCGGGGGCGCCCACCTCCCAGCGCAGGGCCCAACCACGCTCTCCGGAACCCTCAGGCAAGATAGGAGCTGGCCCCCTCCCCTCGCTGCCTCTTAGGACCCCCGCAGAGGCGAAGGAGCCATAATGCTTTGCACCTGGGGTCCGAGCAAGAGAAGGAGAGAGAGAATGGCCCTCCATCTCGTCCGGCTTCCTCCCCCCGCCATGACTCAGCGCGCGGAGCCACTGCATTGCGCAGCAAACCGAGAGCGCTCAAGCCGGAGAAGGTTGCGGAGTCCGGGCCAGGAGCCTACGTGTAGGTGGTAGTGGGAAGGGCGAGATGCTGGGCCCGAGCTTTGGTGGGGGAGATGGGGTCAGGCTGCCGACTGCCCCCAGAATCCTTCTCCACGGTCCCTGACCTTCGCACACGGCGAGGGGCGCTCACCTGGCACGGGAGGGGGCGGATCTGCGGGATGCGGCGGTGGAGGGCGGCGCGCGGGCGAGCAGACTAACGGAGGGAACGCGACCGTCGTCACCAGGACTTTGGTTCTTCGGCGCGTTCCAGGAGGAACGCAGCCTATACAACTCCCGAGGGGGCGGTGCAGAGGGCGGGCAGGAGGGAGGTGGCGCCGGGCTTTATAAAGGCACCGCGCCAGCCTCCACTGGTTATTTTCCCTAGAAGGGGGCCGGAGGCGCCCTGGCGTCCAATTGCAGGCGAGGAACTGTGCAGAGGCCGCCCCCGAAAGGCGAAGCCCGGAGGCGGCGCTTGGGCGGGGACAGCACGGCGAGAACACGATCCCTCCCCCCGGCCCCCCTAGGACGTGACTCGGGCCACATCCTGCGGGTTGCCTGGGCCCTCCCGTCCCTCTCCCTCCCCCCCCTCCCCCCCCCCCTCCCCCTGCCCCCCCCCCCCCAGTTGGCGCGTTCTGGGGCACCGTGACTCAGCCGATTTGGGGCACCGGAGAAGATGGGGTGTGGGGGAAGCGGGTGCAAGAGCCTGGAAAGACCGAGGCTCAGCCTCCCCGCCCCAGGCCCAGCCGGGTGGCGCGGGGCAGCCCCCGCTTCCGGCCTGCGCTGACGGCCGTCTGTGTCACACCTGGGCGGGCCCAGAGGTCGGGCGTCGGCCGGCCTCGTCCGCAGGCTGCCCTTGCGGGCTCAGCGGCGCCGGGCCGCCCCTCCCAGGGTCACCAGCCCGGGCGGAAGAGCGGCTGCTCTCGTACTCCTCGAGGGCGGCGGGGCCGTGGTTCCCGGTGGCCCGCCCGCGCGGGTGTCGGCGCCACGGCCGCGCCCGTCCAACCAGCCTCGCCACGCGTGCGCAGGCGCTCTCCGCTCGCGCCCGGCACCGACCGGCCCGCGGCAGCCACCGCTAGCCCCAGCAAGTCTGGGGATGCGGCGCTAGAGTGCCTGCGAAGACGTCTCCCTGGAATCTGACTTGCCTGTCCAAATCAAATCTGTCCCTAGCTGGTTAGTCCCCGATGCATTTTGAACCCCTCATCCTATCGGCCAGGTTTCCCCTCCTAAACCGGACCCATTAAACCCGAGCCCGACCCCAACCCCATCCCTGCTGTGTCCCGCCGCCGGCGCCCACCTGCGAGGAGGCAGAAGGAGCGGGCAGAGCCTGGTCAGCAGCGAGTGAGCCAGGCCGCTCTCGGGCTGGGTTATAAGGCAGCTCCTGCCCTCCCCCCAGCCCATGTCCCCAACTTCCTCCGATGACCTCTGCCCTTTCCTTGCCACGGATCCCCTGGCAGGGACCTATATTTAGGGAAACCTGAAGCCCCTGACATTCATGCCAGCGTGGGGCCTACAGTGAGGAAAGGAAGCCCTGGGGCTGCCCTAGTTGGGGGGCAGGGGTGGGCCCTGCCCACTCACCAGTACCTTAGAGGAAATTTTCTTGGAAATCCAGCCTGAAGCCCTCAGAGGCGGTCAAGAGAAATCGATCTCAGCACAGGGATCTGTCGGGAGGGAGAAGAGGAAAGGAGACTGGGATCTGTGGCCCTCCAGGCCTCCTTCTCTATCCTCCCTCCCTTCTGGGCCCTGAAGGAGGCTTTTCTGATTCTGGGGAGACCATTCCTTTGGCGGGAGAGCAGATGCAGGCACGACACTCACCTCAAGATAACCAAGAATCCACAGCCAAGGTGTGGCTGGGGCAGCCCTATATCTTCATACTCCAGGTTCAAGTTTGTCCCATAGATGGTCTGTGGTGAGCAGTGTCTCCCACCCTCACCTTCAATGATAACGGTTTACATGGAGAGAAGGATAGGCAGGTGGGGTCCCCTGCCAGAGTGCTAGGCCCTCTCCCTCCTGGCCCTCCAAAGGACAGTCCAAATGCCCGGGGGCTCTCTGAGTCCTGCTCTGCTGGGAGCCAGGCTCTGCACAGCCCAATGAGCTGGGCAGGCCATATGTGGTTCCAGGGGCCTGGAGAAGGTGCCTGGAGGCCCCGTCAGGGAACAGGGCGTGGGGGCCCTGGGGGTTGGCCACTCTCCAAGGGGCAAGGACTCCGGGTCCTCATCGGAGCTTGATCTCAAAGCAGAGACAGTTGAGGCTCTGGCAGTCAGGCAGCTGGCACGCACAGGCACAGTCGCAGAGTGGACAGCAGCGAGGACAGCGAGGGGCCCAACCCTGAGGGAGAGGAGAGAGGGGTGAGGGAGGTGGGCAGGGAGAAGGGCAACCAGTCCCCTAAGCTGTTTCCCTCTCCAGGGAGAAAGGAACAGAGAGGCTTGGGAAGCCGCATTTGCCCAGTGGAACAGAGGATACCACCTACTATTCTTGAGAACAAATCAATTCCCTGCGCCGTTGAGAAATGAACAGGGAGGCAGCGTTCCAAACAACTGAGTCCAGAAGCTGGAAGAAATTATTGGGGGGGGGGGGGGGGGTCTTTCCTTCTTCCCCTTTTATAGGCAAGGAGACTGAGAAATCAAGTAATCCTGTTCCATGAAGTACTGACATTCAGCTCAAAGTTGGTTCTACTATATCCTTGGGGCCTCACTCAGTTCCAAGGGAGGAGATGAGGGAGAGCACACACACATTTTCCTTCCATGACAAAAAGAATCGGGTTCTGTTTTCTTCCTTGGTGGGAGACCAAACTGCAGGACCCCGCCCATTATTTCTGAGCGTCTGCTCCCTGCAAGGCACAGACTGTAATCATGAATGATTCTGAAAAATCTCAGTTGTCTTTGAAAATGGTAACTGGCAGATTTTTTAAAAAACATTTTTTAAATGGAGGGACTGGAGGCTCCCTTGCATGGAGGCCTCTTTACAGAAGAGAGAGTGGAGGCTCGGAGAGGGAGATCCCCCTTGACCCCACTGCCTCCCAGGCCCAGAACGATCAGCTTCTGCAGGGACAGGGGACAGTTGGTCTCCTGTCCCCATTGAGCAAGCACGAGGACTTGCCCTCTGCAGGTATGTGAGGCACAAGTGAATGCTCAATGAATGGATCAATCAAAGCGTTTTCCCCTCTTTGGGAAAAGAGAGAACTCCTCAGCTCCCAGGGGAAAAAGAAGGGTCTGTCTCTTGGGGAATAGGACTGCATGCCCTTCATGACAAGAAGAGAGACCTGGTCTATTTCAACCTACTCCTTTCCTGCCCAGCGACAGGGGTGATCTGCCACTGCTTCACGCATGGACTGGAGCCCGGCCAAGCGGCTGGAGTAGGACACACCCAGGATGTGCCAGGAGATTGGCTCCTTGAGGCCTGAGGCCCAACTAGCTGACAGCCACAGTTGCACGACTCAATCAGATGCCAGGCCAAGCCAGGAATAGGGGAATGACCTTTGCAACAAGCTGTGGTTTGGGGGTGCGGTGTCAGATGACTGGGGAGATCAGATATCACTAGGGGCTCCAGTGAGGGAAGGGGATCTGCTGGCAGCAGGACAGGGGTCTGAACTGGGCTGGCATGGCCATCAGCGGGATTGTCTCACAAGGAGACTAGAAGCCCCATGGCAGAAGGGGGAGTGAAGCGGTTTCCTTGTATCTGATGAGGGGGTGGTTTGGGGCATCCCTGGGGAGTCCCAGTTTGGGAAGAAGTGGGCTCTGTGGGTTTGGGGGGGCCCACGCCGTCATTCCGTGTGCGGCACTGTGTGCTCTGCCGCCCTCACCTCGGAGAGAGGGTATTAAAAGCATTTCTGGGCTCTGTCCACTGGAAGGGTTTAGAGCGAGTCATTAATAACTGTCTAATGGATTTCTTGACTCTCACAAGCAGCCATGTGGCTTCTGGAAGGAATCTGCTACTTCAGTACATAAACAAGAATGCCACAAGCCTGTTAACCCTTTTGTGCCTCTTGAGACACTACAGCTTCAGCTTCGATTCCCTTTCCCCAGATTTTTGCGACGCTGTGGTGTCCAGAGCTCAGGCCTGGATTTGAACCAAATGCACGCCCACCTTGGGCCTGTTCATGTTTTGAGCCTCCGTTTGGTCATCTCTGCAACAAGAAAGAATGCCTGCTTCAGAGGCTCACGGTGGGAAATCAGTGGAAGGAACTAAGCTCGCTGCCTAGTGCATACTGAGCACTCGAGAAAAGGCAGGGATTCTTGCCACAGCTCTCTGTGGCCCCCTTGCCCCAGCCAGACCTCCTGGGTGGGGGGCCCAGAGGCCTGGCTTTGTGTCTGTCTCCTCCACATCTCTGATCACACACAGGGCTGAGAACCAGCTATCGCACTATGTATCACCTCATTTCTCCTGCTCCAGTGTAACTGCCCACTTTTTCCTGTCTGTCTTTTGCTGCAATGGAAGCCCTATGTGGGTTGGGGCCAGGTCCAGCTTGTTTTGCAGAGCCCCTTGGGCCTGGCACAGGGCCCTGGCGATGACTGCATAGATCCTTAAGTAGGTGAAGGAGTGGGTGAATGAGCGCAGATCTCTGCCACTTGCTTGGTGAAAACAGCAGGGCAGGCAGGTGTCTCCCCCAGAAAGGAAGAGAAACTCAGGTTGTCATCCTAGCCTGGGCCTCAGGTAAGTCACTCCAGCCCCTGGAAGCCCGTTTCGAACAGCTGTCAAGTAGGCAAGCGCCTTGTCCTATTTGTGGCTGTTACTGTTACTACAAGGAAACTGAAGAACAGACATTTTACTGTACTTTGTGCAAAGGCAGCTCAAAGACAGACGATCCTGCCCTGCCCTGTGGCCATTCTAGAATCCTTCCTTCCTGGTGCTAGCAGAAGCCAGGTAGATCAAGTCCTGGAGTGTGCAGGTCTGGAATTCCCTGTACCTTATTCCTTCGTCACCCTGCCTGAGAAGAGGCCTGGACTGACAAGAGGGGGCAAGGGACAGCATACCCTGGACAAGGGGCCATAAATTGTTTTGTAATTGAGCATTTCCTATAAAATAGGGAGTTTTTAGGACCCAGGGTTATCTTCTCTTCCCCCTCTGTCCCCTTATCCTCATCCTGGGCTCCCTTTCCAAGCCACCCCAGGAAAACAGAAGAAAATTTTTTTTTTTTTTTTTTTTTTTTTTTTAAAGAGAAGAGCCTCTGGCCCTGTAATTTCCTTCAAAACTCAAAACATCTCCTAGGAATTTGACCAACTACCAGTGAGCCCAAGTTATGAATTCGCTTGATCTTTTATGCTCCCTCTTTCCTCCTGGGCAAGGTCACCACTTCAAGGGCAAGAGCGTCGCTGCCTAAATCAGAGCCTAAAATAGGAAGGTGGTCGATTCCATTTACCGTCTTTCAACCCACAAAAACGAAAATGGCCTGTCCTCCGGGAGCCAGGCTTCTCCCTGAGGATTCTGTTTCCACACACAATGGAGCAATTTGCTGTGCTAGCCTCTACTATGTAACATTGTAGAAATGACCCAACCTCCCGCAGCCAACTCCTCCCTGCCCCGCAAAAAGAGGACAGAAATACTTACCTGTCTACATACACAGGCACAGGATGGTTGGCAGTGGGCGGTGGGGGGGGGGGGGGATGTCAAGGTGTGATGTCAGGTCAAAAAGGGCAAGTAGCAGAAGGGACGAAAGAGTATCTGTGGCAGGACCCCATCTTTGCCAAATACTGGCAGGTAACAGAGCAAGGACAGCTGTCTCTTAGTATACAAGGGGCATACACAAAATGTAGCGGCCTTGGTTAGCGAGCTGTTTTCTAAGCTGGTGCTTTCTATGTATTTCTACATGCACACTTTGTAATCAATGCTTTTCATACTCAGAACTATACATATCCAGGTTTTTAAAAATGCCGAGCTCTCAGGGTTGTTGAGTAAATGATATAATGTCAATAAAGTAGCATGGGATCTGGGGCATCATACTCACTCAGTGAACAGGAGGAGCTCTGGGCTGGGCTGATTTTTCTTTTAACGACCATTTTCAGAACCCAGTATGCCCTTCAGGTTACACACCTGCCCCCAGCTGCCACCCTTGTTTTCTTTTCTCCAAGTAGCTTTGGCACCAGAAAGTATGTAATATGCTGCCATTTGAGGTGTCTTTGGCTGTCTCCCCACTGACCCAGTCCCCAGAACTGAGCCCAGCCCAAAGTAGATGCCCAGCAATCCATGTTTGTTGAACACCACCAACAAAAGAAGGCCCAGAGAGGGTCCAGGTCAGGGCTGGGATGAGAACTCACAGCTTCCGTGGGCTGGGGGCAGCAGGCATCCAGGCAGTGGGCTGGGCTGGGCAGAGGGAAGTCGCAGGCTTCTGCACAGGTCCAGCAATAGTCCTGGGGCCTAGAGGCCCCTTGCTTCCTGCAGGGGGAGCTGCAGTCGGCACAGCAGCCCTGGGCCTAGGTAGGAGATGGAAGGTTAGGATCTGAGCCAGATGGTGGGAGGACGTGGGGGGTGGGGAGACACAACTGCTAGGGACAGATGCAGGGACTAAATAGCAAAGGAGCCTCAGGGTAAACGCCTGCAGATGAGGGCACTGACAGACCATTTCCTCTTCCCGCAGCCCACCCCTTGGCCTCTACCAGGCCCCTCACCAGCAGGCAGTGCCTAGTCAGCAGCACGACGCCGAGCAGCAACAAATAGATACCCACAGCGATGAACACGATGGCAGGGATGGGGAGGAGCAGGGAAGGACTGCTGACGGGAGCCGGGGTTGGATTCCATGGGCTAGAGGAGGCCTGGACAAGCACAGGAGGAAGAGGTGACAAGGTGGTGGGAGGGGCTGTGGGGAACACAAAAACACCGGGTGGGACAACCCGACTGACCCAACCAGAGGTGGTTGGGATGAGGGGAGGGACAGCCACTGGATGGCAGGGATTAATTCATTAGAACTACACTCTCCTGTTTCCCAAATGCGACTTTCCCCTCCCATCCCCATCTCAGGACCATCAGTATCTGTTGGTCTTTCGAGAATTTTCCAAGACTTGTTGATCTTGCTCTCAAAATGCCTCTCCATATGTATCTATTATCTCTGATTCCTCGGCTCTAGTGTGCCACCCCTCAGGAGACGTTACTGTTCCCTAAGTGTCTTCCGACTTGCAATCTTGCCCCTTTCCACACCAGCTGTGTTGTGTATCCCTCCCTTCCTCACAATCCATCAATCGCTCCCATTGACTCAATCCAAACTTATCTCAGCGACTAAGCCCCAATCCAGCCCTGCCTACCCCGCCCTCTATACTCCAGCCAGACTGAAGTCCTAGCAGCTCCCCAAACGTCTATGCTCCCTCCCACCCCTGAGTCTCTGCCCAAGCTGTTCCCTCAGCCCGTGATGCCTTTCCTCCTTGATTACTAGGCAAGCTTCTCATCTTGCCAGGAAGAGCGGAAATGTGCTCTCCACGTGAGGTCTATCTATTCCGGGCATGCTCTCACATCTCCGGTCCTGAGCTCGAAGGGTCTCTGTTGGGTAAACAGTCCCCTCTCCAGTCTGGGCTGGGGCTCGAAGTCGACCTTAAGGTCCTGAGGGGGCCGCTGCAAAAAAGGGTGAGGGGCCCGGGACTCACGTCCATGGGTCAGGACAGCGCCGTCAGTCCAGGACCTGCAAGGAGAGAAAGTCCGGGTCTCGGAGGCTGAGAGGGGCCATCGGACTGGGGGTACCCACTATCCAGCCCCCCAACTCCCACTTGGAGAAACTGAGGCCGAACATCGTCCTGGTCCAGACAGTGGGGATCAGGGGCCCGGGGAGGCGTCCCCCTCGCAGGCCCCAGGCTGACCCTGGCCACACCCCCGGCTGTCCCCACACCCTGGCTCCCTCCAGGGACCGGTCCCCAGCACCTGCACCCTCGGGGCCGGGGGCAGTTTGCGGATTCCGCGCTGCGCTCGTCCAATGGGCCGCGGCGGCTGCGCCGCCCAGAAGCTCCCGCGGCTTCTGGCCGTTGCCATGGCGACCCGAGCGCCGCTCCTACGGCGGCCGCCGAGACCCAAATTCCTTCTCGCCGCCGCCCGTCGCTCTTCCCCCGCTAGATCCTGGGCGGCCACCGCCCCTCTTAGTTGCGGTCGGCCGGGTTTTCCCGCCGCTACTGCACGGAAAAGGCGATTTCCCGCTGCCAGCTGCCCGGGTCGAGCCCTCATCCCGTGCTGGGTCCTGCGGCGCCGCAAAGGGAAGACCGAGCCCTGGGCTACACACCAACGGGCTGCGTGACTTTGACGCAGTCACTGAACCTCGTGGAATCCATTTCCGCCCCTGTAAAACTCCTGCCTTACGGGGATGTTGTAAAAAAGCTAACTTGTCAATCGTAGAGCATTCTACTTTTTTTTTTCGTCAACTTTACCCCACTCAGTTTTTAGTTGTAAAAAAGCTGACTTGTCAATCGTAGAGCATTCTACTTTTTTTTTTTTCGTCAACTTTACCCCACTCAGTTTTTAGTTGTAAAAAAGCTAACTTGTCAATCGTAGAGCATTCTACTTTTTTTTTTTCGTCAACTTTACCCCACTCAGTTTTTATTGGCAGTGCTCCAGTCTAAGACTTGGGCGGGTCTCTTCAACCTTCAGGTCCCAGGCAAAGGGATCCCCTCCCCCCCCGCCCACCTCAGATCCCGTGTCTTTTCTATTTTAAACCTCCAAAGGACAAAGTCCAAATGCTTAGCGGATTGTCCACCTCAACCAGTCTGGGCCCCTCCTATCTTCCCTTTGTTCATTAACCGCCTATCTCCTCTAGGCTCTGGGCCTCCAGCCGAGAACAAGGTAAATTTCCTGCCCACAGGTTGCGCACATTCCCCTGGGGGAGGAGGATCTGGTGATCTGTAAACAAGTCAGACTGTTCTGTGTTCCACATTCTTCCAATCTTCCTTGATAGGATCTGGGCGAGGCTCCTGAGCCAGTGCAAAGGTTTCCAGAGCTCCACGCATTTGCAGATACTATTCCCTCTGCTAGAACAACACCCTTCCCCTGAGGAACTCCCTCATCCTTCAAGCCTCTGTGGGTTTTGCCTCAGGGAGGTCTCCCCGACTACTGCGAACCACAGGCAGAAGTGGCTGCTTTGGGCACCTGATTAATCTACAAGCTTATTCCAGCCCTGATGACAAGGTTTTTGAATTCTCCCCTTTGGTGCCTGGCTCCCCGTTAGACGGTTAGATGGCAGGCGCCTGGATCTGATTCATTCCCGTATCCCAAGCCCTGGCAGTTGGTAGGATCTTGGGGGCCTCCAGCAAGTACTCAACTGATTCCATGAATGAATCAAATCTGGTGCCATCCACCAAGAAAGGGTTATTACTGAGAAGCCCTAGTCCTCCCCTGGCTCACAAGCCACCTGGACTCCCGACTTGCATTCCTGCCCTTTTGGGATCTACACATACATGATTGCACTCTGTATGCTCATGTAAGCACACAGAGGACTCAGGCTTCATCCACAATTCCTGCATCCGGGCATGTCCCCTGAAAACAGTGATGTAGGAAAAAAACGTTAGGGTTCCAAGCCTATGGCCAAGAAAGAATTCTTGAGGCATCTTTAGTCCAAAAAACTGATTTTATTCAAGTACGGGGCAGGACCTGTGGGCAGAAAGAACTGCACTGGGGTCATGAGGAGTAGCCCATTGTATACTTTCAAGTTGGGAGGGGGTCTGGGATAGCTTAAGTCTCTAAGGAATTTTGGAAGCAAGGTTTCCAGGACCTTGAGGGAGCCAGCTGCTGTTGGGAAAAGGTCATTTATTCCGTCTAATAAAACCTTAGGCATGAGACCCTTCAGCTGTATATCCATGGGCGATATGCTTGGAGGATGATTGCCAACATGCATCTTGGGGGACTCAGAGATAAAGGAAGTTTCCCAAAGAATTTTTGAATGTTAAAGTAGGTTTACAGGATCCCAGGAGATGGGAGGTGGGCTAGGATTGCCTTTTGCCCTCGAGACAGTTGAGTCCCGAGAGGAATGTCACTCTGCCTGTTTCAAGGACTTGTCCACAGGTTGTAGGAAATTTAATAATTTTTCTTCCGCCTTTGTTTCCCACATCAGCAGTAACACCATATACCCACCTTTGTCCATGGCCTCTACCCATTACGTACCTCATCTCTGCTGCTCTCCCTGGGGATTTCTTTTTTTTAAAGATTTTATTTATTTATTTGACAGAGAGAGATCACAAGCAGGCAGAGAGGCAGGCAGAGAGAGAGGAGGAAGCAGGCTCTCGTCAACTTTACCCCACTCAGTTTTTATTGGCAGTGCTCCAGTCTAAGACTTGGGCGGGTCTCTTCAACCTTCAGGTCCCAGGCAAAGGGATCCCCTCCCCCCCGCCCACCTCAGATCCCGTGTCTTTTCTATTTTAAACCTCCAAAGGACAAAGTCCAAATGCTTAGCGGATTGTCCACCTCAACCAGTCTGGGCCCCTCCTATCTTCCCTTTGTTCATTAACCGCCTATCTCCTCTAGGCTCTGGGCCTCCAGCCGAGAACAAGGTAAATTTCCTGCCCACAGGTTGCGCACATTCCCCTGGGGGAGGAGGATCTGGTGATCTGTAAACAAGTCAGACTGTTCTGTGTTCCACATTCTTCCAATCTTCCTTGATAGGATCTGGGCGAGGCTCCTGAGCCAGTGCAAAGGTTTCCAGAGCTCCACGCATTTGCAGATACTATTCCCTCTGCTAGAACAACACCCTTCCCCTGAGGAACTCCCTCATCCTTCAAGCCTCTGTGGGTTTTGCCTCAGGGAGGTCTCCCCGACTACTGCGAACCACAGGCAGAAGTGGCTGCTTTGGGCACCTGATTAATCTACAAGCTTATTCCAGCCCTGATGACAAGGTTTTTGAATTCTCCCCTTTGGTGCCTGGCTCCCCGTTAGACGGTTAGATGGCAGGCGCCTGGATCTGATTCATTCCCGTATCCCAAGCCCTGGCAGTTGGTAGGATCTTGGGGGCCTCCAGCAAGTACTCAACTGATTCCATGAATGAATCAAATCTGGTGCCATCCACCAAGAAAGGGTTATTACTGAGAAGCCCTAGTCCTCCCCTGGCTCACAAGCCACCTGGACTCCCGACTTGCATTCCTGCCCTTTTGGGATCTACACATACATGATTGCACTCTGTATGCTCATGTAAGCACACAGAGGACTCAGGCTTCATCCACAATTCCTGCATCCGGGCATGTCCCCTGAAAACAGTGATGTAGGAAAAAAACGTTAGGGTTCCAAGCCTATGGCCAAGAAAGAATTCTTGAGGCATCTTTAGTCCAAAAAACTGATTTTATTCAAGTACGGGGCAGGACCTGTGGGCAGAAAGAACTGCACTGGGGTCATGAGGAGTAGCCCATTGTATACTTTCAAGTTGGGAGGGGGT